ACATTTCAAATGATATCAGCGATCGAATAATTGTAATCGAAAGGCAATCTTTAACCGTGGCCTTGCTGACCTAACCGACAATACAACCTTGAATGATTGAATAATAACGGGATTTCACGTATTTTGTATGGACGAGCTTAAATATTCAGATTATAATTAAGATTCAATAAGTTTTCGAATTTGCACGCTGTAATGTAATGTTAATCGATACATTAACATTATATCTGCTGAAGTCGACTGTGCAAAAAAGAGAAAAGAATAAGAGAGAAGATTATCAGTGAGGTTTTGAATAAGGCTAATCACGTTAGTATCGTTATCTACAAAAAAAAAATCGATTTACGCACTGTCTTTATCATTAATGTTTGATTATATGAATGCATACGTGCGATATCAAAAATATCGCATACCAAACACATTCTCCATTTATGCTCAGAAAATGAACACACGAATGCTTTTCGATATTTTTTTGATGACTCAAGGAGAGTAATAATCTTTTTCTCTTTATATAAATTATGCAGGAAATATTAATCATTCTTGGCATAATTATATTTATAAGAATCTTAAACAGTATTATTGAATTAATATTACTGAAATTTTCTGATTTATTAATCTGAAAAAAATATGCAATTCGATATTACATTTTGTCAGCTAATTTTTGCACTGAGAAAAATGTTTTGATTAAATCAATATATCAAGAATAGGATATCAAAGAAAATTTCTGTTAATCAGATAATTTTTGATAATCAGGAATTCTGTTTGATCTAATCAAATTCCTATTTTTCATTGATTTAATCAAAATATTTTTCTCAATGTATAAGATAGCGATGAAGTGGTAATTATCAGCTAATTACACGAATTCCCGGAAATTTGAATAACCGAATAACTACAATTTCAAGATTTCATCTGTAAATGTCGATACAATAATGAACTCCGAAGTCTTTCGACTTAAATTTCTTGCAGCTGTCGTAATTTTGTTGCACGACCGGCTAAGAAAGAAGTTTGCACAGCACTTTCTCTGCTCCGCTGAAAAATTATTTATCTCGACTCTGACATGTGGTGTCAGTGTAATTATTACATATCATATAATTAACACTTCACTAATCACGAGTCCAATGAAGACCATTTTCGTCCGTTTAATTGGATCAATAATTAATAATCAATGAATTCCGAAAAAAAATTATCCAAACTTTATTTTATTTAGTATTGTAAATAATATGTATAGTACTTCTTCTCTTCTCTCTCTCTCTCTCTTTTGACGCAATACGATTGATTTCACATGCAGCTTGACTTACAACTTTGTAAGTGAAACTTACCTGGAAGAAGGTAAGAACGATTCGTCGTTAGCTATTAGTCAGTTAACGTTAAAACGAGTAGGCGTCTGGCTTTCGCTATGTCGATGATTTGTTTCGATTCGATTACGTAATATAACAGGAAACAAAGCTTCCATATGTGTGTGTGTATACATGTGTATGTGTATGTGTGTATGTGTGTAGAAAATAATATAAATAATTCAATAAATAAATGTGCATTTCCATATGTAAACATCTCCAAATAATTCAAGGATCTAATTAATAAATAATTTTTGTTGCAAGACCAACTCTAGGAGATACACATCGGATATTTTGAAAGATCAGGATAAGTAAATAATGGGATAATCCTCAAATACTTGTCTTTAGCGATTGCAATATCGTCCGGCGAAATCGGATTTCGCGTATCGACTTCTTTAAAAGGCAGAGCACGTGGACTGCACTCGTGCTCCGAATGCAGTCCGCAACATGCATGTATTATTGTCAAACGGTATATATATCAGCGCGATGAAAAAAAATGTCTCACATGTGCACGCATATTTACGTACATGCACACACGTTACACTTTGTAGTTTCACCTGTTTTATCGGGATACAACAGTACAGCAGACTTCGTGCATAGGATCTTATACAATGTGCCTGTTAAGGAAAAATGCAAGTACTTTCTCGCGAATGTGACTTATGCCCGTTTCTACCAATGTAGATTAACTTTAATCTCGATTTAACTTATACTTTTTATTTGTTTCTAATTTTAAGAATGGAATAAAAATAAAGAGTCAGTTAAACCGAAATTAAAATTAATCTATGTTGATAGAAACGTTAGACAATTTATAAATGTTTTATAAATAGTATATACTCATATACGTAAGAGATTTTCTCAGCTTGCTGCGTAATCTTCTACAAATATCTTTAGTATAACAAATATCTTTTTATTTTTTTTTTAAATTGCAAAAGATTTTCAAAGCGGAATTCCAATCAAAGCATTATCAAGGTCGAGAACAAGATATCTTGAGATCATAGGTCGGCGCGCGAGTTAACTTGGAAACTTCGCTCGTATAATCGGAGATGCAGTACAATATCGACAAGATTGTTGGCTTTACGTCATGGCTTGGTCGGTTTTTTATATCTGATAATTTCTATGTAATCATTCGAGCATCTAAAATTCTAAGAGGCATATTAATATTCATAGTGTACGTGAACTAAATAAATCGATAATAATTCATAAAGGAAATTTATCATTCAGAAAAGCTAACAGATTTTACATAAATCATCTGTGAAATAACAGCTGCGAAGATTCTTATTTTAGAAAAATTGTTTCTCCGCGTTAAGTAATCGCAAAATAATTTTGCGTGTGAATGAAAATCTAAAATCGTCTTTTTTTATAAATTATAAATTGTATATTTGATATAATAATTCTGAACAATTTTAGTTTACGAAGGATCTCTTTCTACACGTTGCTAATTTGCACAAAGTGCAAAATTGTGTGCAGGTTTATATTACAAATGGTCTCTGAATTTTTGAAAATATCCCTCAAATGTCTTTCTGAGAATTGTTCCTGAGAATGTCTTGATGAGACATTTTTGCATTATAGAATTTAGATATCAACGTGATTAGCAAATTTCATAAAAAGGATAATTTTGAGATACGAATTTGTCATTATTAACGATGACGCGACGCTAATAATATAATGCTTTAGGACTAGGTGAGGCTAGTCTAACCCATCCTTCGCATTGTGCATTCGCAAACGCGATTCTAATCTATTGTGCTCGATAACAATATCGCGGACGAGTATCGTTATTTCAACAAGCGTACAGTCAAAGACAATATCGGTCATTAATTTGTGAACATAAATAGACAAAGTTTTAAACTAAAACTTGTGGAAAAATTGCAACTTTGAAAAAATAATCTGCAATAAATCAACTTTATATGAATATTTATATATTCATATATAATATTATGAATATTGATTTACATTAAACAAATTACGTGTATTTATATAGAAAAAGTGATGTGTTAGAAAAGTGTAGTAAAAAAGTAAAATTATCTGTCATTAAAATTTAGCATGTGCTAGGCTGAATATGATGTTTCTCACGTATGTTTATGTTCAATAGTAAATTATAATGAAAAATTTTGAATTAAAATATGGAAACTCACATTTTAATGACATATGAAATATAATCTTCATTTATTTAACAAGATTAAGGAACTTTTATTATCAAATAACAATATAATTAATTTTTATTATATTTATGGAAAAAATGGACAATTATTTTATAGATATATTTTAGTATCTAAATTGCTGATTATTGAGATATAATAAATATTAGATCAAAAAATTAATTTTTAACAAATATTTTTTTCAAATGTTCGTTAAAATACACATAGCAAACATTTTGCTATTTTAAAATAGACGGCAAACATTTTGCTATTTTATCTTTTTTTACCGAGTATAAGTATCTGATTCGTTTGTGCAAGTAAATTTGTTATGCTTGCCTTTTAAAATAATAATGGATATGAGAACTGAATATATAAAATAGAATAGGAATAGAACACAGTTCGTTCTAATTCGACTCGTTGGTACGACTTGAGAGTATATGCAAATAAACAATAATAGTTTCTCCATGGAAATTTTCTACTTGTATGATAAAAGGAGATGAATAGATGAGAAAAAGAGAGAAGGAAAAAACGCGAACGCGAGCAGGAGTGAACTGAGGACGTGGGAGGATGCAAATACGAAGAGCCTTGAGTCGAATCCGCTGTAACTAGGATAGGTGCATAGATGAATTCACACGTTTACATACATGGAGACGGATGATTCATTCACGCTCCATGTTCGATTAATCCGACTCGCCTAGTTAACAGATATGTTTCGCGATAAATGATGCAGGTAAAAGACGCTTCTCTCAACGACATTCGCAGTGACAGTCATTACAATGACTATACTTTGTTGCATCATGCATTATTTTAGCTAGAAATTAAAAGTAGTTAAGCACACTCGAATATACATTTTTATTTCAATTTCATTATTGAGCAATAATTTTTTCAATCGTAAATCTTTTATATGTTGCGCGTCATATATTATTTTAAAAAGTTAAAAGTACTTAAGAATACGAGTATATTTCTACTACTTTTATTTCAATTTTATCATTAAACGTTTTCTTAAATCGTAAATTGTTTTTCTACACATCTCTTCCGTTTGTCGTAAAATCTTTTATTAAAATAAGGATTTAAAACTTGGAAATCGATCTTTTTTTAAATGTTATTGTTATTCATACGCGTGTCTTTTGGCATGAAATTTTCTATTTATATATTGTAGATGAACAAACACACGTCAATTCCGCGTCGAGCGTTAATACGTTGATCATCGTGCAGTAGTCACAGATTGAATGTAGGCTGGCTAACGTAAGCAACAGGTGGGCGTTTCTACTGAACGACGACTTCTCCCTCTCCTATGCCGCTACTTCTGTAGCCGATTTTTCCAAGTGATATACCGTGACATTACACAGCTTGATTCATAATCATTATGCTATATGAAAAACCTTTAAATCTTTAATTTCCACTCACACAGTTAGCGAAATAAAAATCTCTCGCTGTGCGTGAAATATACATCGATGAATTTTTATCGATCTAAGTTTTCATTTTGAAGAGATCATCGTCTATCTGTCTAGTTCCAACTTGTGATATGCGTGCCTACCGTTCATATAAACATGATGCTGCCTCCACAAGTGCTGGTACTGGGACCACCTGGAACTTGTGCTGTCTTCGTGGATGGGCGGTAGCGGCGGGTGTACTTGATGGCCATGGGAGGTCGGCGGCAGGGGTGGTGGCGGTGGTTGCTGGGATTGCGGCTGCTGATGAGCCGGCGCGACTACGATGTGCGGATGCTGCGGTGGCTGCACCGGCTGCTGATGCTGGGGTTGAGGATGGTGCGCCTGGGTGTGCAGCACCCCAGTTGGTACCGGCGGTGGCGCCAATTGCTGATACTCCATAGCGCAGCTCATCCGATTATCTCACGCGCGCATTTAATTATTCTCGCGGTATCTCACGCGGTCCCCCCCGCCCCCCCGCAATGTCCAACGTGGTTAAACGACAAGTCCCCCGAGGTTTCCTTTCACTTGCAACGGTCCGGACGACGCGCTCGCATCCGTAATAGCGGGGATGTTCGCGACGCGACGATCGCAACCGCGATGTCTGTATGTATTGGCGAGGGAATTATTTAAATTTATCGCGGGCTATTGATCACCGAGGCTGTCCGCCCGCTATTGAATAGATTCGGCTCCAGAAGCGATGCGCGTCGTGGCGAACATACGATTATTTCTGAATGCTGAAGGCGGGAATCTCCGTGGGAATGCTCGTAAAGTCTATCCTATGAATCAGCTGCGGAATTTTCCGTAATCGATCGTTTAGCGTTTCGCCTCGATCAAATTATCCCGGCGAGTTCTCGAAGCGGATCGCTGTCTCTTCGACCACGTGATGGCTATTAATCCTCACGCTTCATCCGTTAGTAAGCTTGATTAAATCTTCAATTAGTCCACTCACAATAGGCCTGATACGATCATGATTCACTGAGAAAATCCAATGAATAAAAAGAAAGCACTTTCGCGAGCAGTCAGACTAATGCGTTCGGAAGCTCGCGAGGTGACCACGCAACAAGGTCCACGTTGCGAAGGGCACTGCTCCGATTCACGAATCACAAGGATCCCAGACTCGAAGTAAGTCCAGTGCACGATTAAACCGCGAGCTCTGAGAGTAGCACAGTGTCGACTGTCAAAATCGCCTCTCGTCAGCGTCTATCCGTCGGCGTCGTATGCCGATTGGAGCACCATCGTTGCCGGAAGCGGCGCTCCTATTGGTCCCACTCCATAGTCGGTGAGAGGGGGCAGGGCACGGACGATGTGCCTCAACGTCGTCCTGGAGGTGAGCGTAGAGAGACAGCACGAGGAAGGATGGAGTGAGGAAGACGGAGGAACGCGGGCGTCCAGGCAAGCACAGACAGGAGGGAGAAAGATAGACAGAGAGTGGGTACAGAAAGGGAGAGGGAGAAAGAGAGAGGAAGAGGTTGGAGGGAAAGAAAAAGAGAGAGAGAGAGAGAGAGAGAGTGCTCACCGATATTCTGTCTCACTCTCCTCCGCCCCAACATCCGCTTTTTCCCGCCCCCACCTCCCACTATACATCTGAAACCTGACCCCACTCATCGCGCAAAAGCGCGAGCGCGCACACCCGCCGGTTTCTTCCTTCTTCGCTTCGCCGACGACGTCTCTCCTTCCTATACGAGCCAGCGAGCACCAGCTTTATCGACGTCCCTGTCTAGTTTCTAGGATCCAGATTCAGGCCTCTTCCTCCCGCTTGGTGAACGCCACCGTAGTGGTCCTCTGGTCTATCTGCCTGGCCGCTTGCCTGTGCGCTCCGGCTGATCGCGTCGCACTTTTTCACTTGTCCTGTCTGTGGTTTGCCTTCCGTCTCTACTTACTTTATCACCTCTCTCGATACCTGGCTCTCCAGACTCTCGGACGCTGAAGAACAACATAGGAGCTTTTATTCACGATTTTAGCTGCTACGCTTCGAACACTCTGACGAATTTAATTTTCATGCTCCGGTCGTTTTTAAATATATAGATCGACTTCTTTTTCCAATCTTATTCCTTCGATCTTCGTCCTGAGATTCTCGAGCTGTGAGACATCACTTAGAAAGACGAGACGTATTCGTATTTTTAAACGCATGATTATTCATCAGCAAACAAATATCGATCTTACTCTTAAAGTTTTAGCGTTATCTTCGTCTGTATCGCGTATGGTAGAAGAGGAAGCTGTGTCCCTTTCAAGTAAATGTACCTCTCTCTACCAGACTGAAACGCTATCTCCTCGTCTCGCCTCGACTGTGGTATTTTCCCACTTTCGATTTTACTTAGCGAAGGAGCGCAGGAGCATTTGATTAATTTCACAAATCGGTCAATTAAATGCTACAAAAAGTATGTCATTCCATAGGTACATAACGAGGTCGGCCGACTCACTTTTTGATTTTCGCTACCACCCGTTTTACTTTTCATGCATTTTAATGCTTATAAAAATAGAAATCCTAATTTCGGATTAAATTAAATCCAAATCGTTTCACACACGAAAAAGAACATGTTTTTTTGCTGAAATATATAAAAAAGATTATGGAAATAATTTTTTTGGACTCTAAAAATAAATATGTAAAATGCACAAACTATAATATTAAAAATTTTTTCACCGCATTGTCATCAATGCTTATCTCCATAGTTTGATGAAAATCATTAACAATTTTTTCCGTGTATCATTAGAACATTTCGCTATTGTTCGAAATATCATATGAACACCGATTTTTTAATTATTATTTTTATTATTATTTAGATTATTAATGATAGATTGTTAAATTAATTATCTTATTTCAAATGATACAACAAAGTAAATTCTATATTTGAATTTGAAATATCTTGAAGATTTATTTCATGATCAAACTACGAAAAAATTTTTTTTAGTTCTAATAATAGTAATCGCGTTAATATCCAAATTTAATGTTGCGAACGTAGACAAAAATGTTTCGTGGCGGCCATTATAATTCGCGAAAGCGTGTCTCGCTTTGGGTCAGGGCCATCAGGATCGGGCATCCATGGGCAGGATCCAAAAAGAATCCCGCTATCTTTATTCTACCTCCGATCAACGCGGAAGCATCGGCAGTTAATCGTAGCTGAGTGTAATTTAGTAAAAGACAACTCTCAATAAAGGAAGATAATTTTAACAAAAGAAAGAAGATTGAAAAATGAAAAAGAGAACACCGCAAAATTGAAAGTGTTCTCATAAATAATTACAACACATATTTATTTATCTATGTAAAAAATTCGTAAAATTTCCTTTAAGAAACTCTGTTAAGAAATCACAGAAAACAGTTTCACGCAGAAATACTTTCCAGTTTTTTTTAACAATTTTTTTGAGACAATTCTTTTAATACTATTTTGTAAGTTTCTTATAGGAAACATAAGAACTGTAATTTAAAATGTCAAAATATAATTATTTTCCGGTTCTTATATCTATTTAAAAATAAAGTTTTGTTTATCATTCAATCATCACAGATTGCAGTTCTTCTTTCACTGTGATGATCATACGAGGAGAGAAAAAAGAGAGTGCGGGAGGGCCCGACATAAGTTACGTAGTGAAGGCATAAGGTTCTGAATCACCAGAACCGGTCCGGTAGACACGATGCCTGTTGTGCGAACGCGGAAACCACGAGAGACCTGCGGACTCTCGCGAGTCACGGAAGGATTCCTTTCTCCTCTTCGCTCACCGTACTTCTTTTTATATCTCTTGCTTCATTTTTAGTTCCCTCATTCTCTCTTTCCTCTCCTTTTATTCTTTTTTTATCTTTATTTTATTTTAGAGATTCGTCAGACACTTGTCTGGTATTTTCTGTGTGACCAAATATTTTTTATTTAATTACATATTAGTATAATTTTTGATACTAATTGTTTTGAATTTTATTTGACAAAAAAGAGACTGAAAAAAAAAGAAAATTTGTATATTTATGTATCAACATTGTTGTATATAAAATTACAAATCAACTGCAATTTTATTAAGCAAACCAAACTTTATCGCAACTTAATTAAATTTTAAATTTTTATTCATTTTACAACAATTATTGAACAAAATTGGAATTAAAATAGGTTTATCAATAATTAATAAATTACTAAATTCGATAATTTATTCTTTTACTTTCTCTTATTTAATCTAAAAAATATTTTATTTGTATAGATTATATTCATACATTCTATCAGCTTGGGAGATCTTAATGCGAGCAAAGACGCCGCAGCTTTCCGGCTAAAGGTCGGTCGGGAACTGAAACGAGTATCGAGCAACCTGTTGATTCTGGACCCTTTCACTCCCATCTTTGATTCGTACTAAGAGGAGGCAGATGAAGCCATTGATTTATCGCAATATAATCTGATATTTCATAATCTGTATATTATTTTATAGTTAAAATTATCTTTTCAATTTTCTTGAATCAGTCACAGTGAAATTTTTAGTCATTGATACTCAATAATAGGATCTTCAATAAGAAATCGCGGAAGTCAATCGATTTCAGTAATTTTCGAATCTCGATAGCCCGAATAGCCGCCGGTTTCACAATCTGGTTGAAGCAACGTTTCGCGGATCAGATCAGAATGTTGGAACCGGTCGCTTTAGGACCGGGCCAAACGTGAAAACGAAACTTTCGGCGACTTACTTTCTCCTAGGCGTGCATTCTCTCCGCCTCGTTATTGCAGAATCGGATATGGATTGCTTTCCAGAGGAAGGTCATTTTTTTCCATGTGAATACGACTAATAATTCAGTTGCTAAAAGCGGAACGCGTGAAAAAGCGCACGTTCTTTCTTCGAGTTTCGTTAACTGATTTACTTTATTCATTGCCGTTGTAATGCGAAATCAATGAATTTTTTAACAGGATGACAGAATATACACAGATGATTTTGCTGCAAGATCTAAAATGTTTGCTGGATCTAAAAATAATTTTGTTTCCATGTAACCATCAAAATAATTAATAATGTTTGAAATTTAAATTGGTCGCTAGAATCAAATTTTTTGCAGCATTGCTTATTAGTTTTTAATTATATGTAATATAAAACAATTATTTTGATGGTCTAACAAAATTATTTTCAGATCTGTATCCAACAAAATTTTAGATTTTTCTATAAAATCAAAATCAAAATTGTTCGCGTGCAGAATTTTTCTATTTACTGCAAAGGGTCTCCAAGTGTATCGCGAAAATTTTAAAGAAGACAAAAAGAAGCGAACAAATTTAGAAATAAATAAAAAAAAGCGAATAAGCCATGGAATAAAAAATAATTAAAAAATTATTTAAGTTTTATTGTGTTTATTCTCATTTTAACTAAAATGATATCTTATCATTGTAATAAAATCACATTTAAAGCAACAAAATAAAACTTAAAAACTTTACTATTTATTTGTGAATGTTATTATTGAATGTCGTGTTAGCGATATCTGATAAAAACTACACTGAGCAATGAAGCGTGTATTTAATGATGTACTTCTACAAATTTGACTCGTTATTTAATGTGTCGCGAATTGAAAAAAGTGGAAAAACGCTACGTTTTTTTTTAATAGTAATTTAATATAACTACTATTTAAACTGATGACGATCACAAAATGCGACGGAAGCGCTCGATATTCTTGCATTTAATAAATTAAAAATTTCCGATCAAAACATTTTTAAGTTTTTGCCATACAAAAAAACTCTCTATAGGCATGGATCAATAAATGCATATAAATTATATCAGCCTTATATAAATTTGCCATTGCGTTAAAGCCACAACTGCACCGTATCAATAAGTATGTTTCCCCATATTCACGTTTTTGCTTTCTCTATTCGAATAATTTAATTCGCTTAGCCTTGTGAGTATTTCTGCAATTCTATAAAGTTAAAAAAAATTAAAAAAAACACATAAATTTTTACTTTTTTACCTTCTCTTACCTGGAATGTACACGAGTCAACAATTTTTTAAACATCATTGCCTTAAGTTTTTTTCGAAGCAAGCGCGTGCTCTATTTTTTTACTAATTGAAAAAGGATTTGATCATTAGATGAAACTTATCTTGTTTTAATCGCTATTTTTATTATTACGCAAACTATGCATTTCATGATCTTCCTAGTTAAAAATGATAAAAAGATTATACATATATTTATACATAAATATTTAAAGATTGTTATTAATTATTATACATATATCACGTAAAGAATAATGTAAAAAAATCTTTTTAAATTTCTAAATAACTTAAATTAAATTTAATCTTCTTTTGATGGTTTTCAAGAATAAATTTTTCTATAAATATAAAAAAAAAGAATATTTTTAAGAAAGAGTTTTTACTTACAATACAAATAAAAAATAATATTCAAGTTGCAAATCTTTTAAGAAATCTTATTCTAAATTAAAATATGAATGATCTTTCGTTATCACATCTCCCTCTTACAGAGAAGATAAAAGACACTTGTCACTTAATAATAATAGTATCTAATCATTCAAGCAA